TGGTACGCGGGCCTCTCACTGTTGTGGCCTCTCCTGTTGCGGAGCACAGGCTCCGGACGCACAGGCTCAGCGGCCATGGCTCACGGGCCCAGCCGCTCCGCGGCATGTGGGATCCTCCCGGACCGGGGCACAAACCCGTGTCCCCTGCATCGGCAGGCGGAGTCTCAACCACTGCGCCACCAGGGAAGCCCTATATTTCATGTTTTTACACCTCTTATTTATTAGACCTGGCTTCAAATGACTTTGATTTTTCTCAAAATCAAACCCACCCTTAAAAGATAGAAATTTTGAACTACAGTACAGAAGAAATTAGAGAGAATGAACTATAGCTTAAAGGCATTCCAAGAATGTTTTGACAGAAGATGGCATCACTGGAATAAGTACTTATCTTGTTGTGATCAACTACCTTGAAGATGACAATATGTTTTTTTAAACACATGGATATTATGTTATATTTGTTAAAAACCAGGCAGAATTCCTTTCTGCCTCTTTCCTGTGTAAAAGTATTGAAGAAGTTTTAAAACACAAATATGAATAAATACAAAAGAATTATAGATGAGCAAAGTGTAAAGAACACAAATACAAGTTGTACTGACTCCAGAACTGAGGTTAAAATTTTTACCTTTTAAAATATTAGGATAGTTTTAAAAATACATTTCAGTGAAATTTCAATAAAATTTACATCATGACTAATAAATTGCCCCATATGTGAAACCATGACCTTTGGCAGCTTTCCTGACATTCAACCAGGAACTCATTCCCTACTCCTCCTCCTCTCCTATATCAGGGCCAGGCATAACGAGCAAGAAGACAAATGGCAACTCTTGATTATGTACAGTAATGAAACAGCAGATGATTAAATCGAATGTCACAAGAGTCTACTCTGAGAAAGGCTGTAGAAAGAGGAAAAATTCTTTAACATCAGTCTAAACTGTTTTAAAAATGTATTATGTGGCTAAAAAGAATTCTTTTAAGATATTTAGTTTCCTTCCCTATTCTTTGAACTTTGTCATATTTTTAGTATCTCTGTAGCTGGGTGAAAAGAAAATTTATCATAAAATTAATACTGAATGATGATGAAATTAATGTCTTACTGCTATAGTGGATCCATTCTTGCCAACACCACCATGGAGGATAACATGGAAGTAATTTGAACAGGAAAATATTGCTCCACCTACTACTCCGAGAACTGGTAAGATCTTCAATTTTATTTCTAGGACGGGTATCTTTAGGGGTAGAGGAAAGAAACACATCATTAAGAAAACAGAATTTCTTTTCCTGTTAAAGAGTAAAGAAACATTATGATACAGCCCTATACAATAAGCTATTCTTTTTCTTATAATCAAACCTTAACTTCTGGAATGTAACCTGAAGTGGTAACTTTTCTTTTAATGGTTTTATCTCTTAAAGTGAAAAATCCAGCTAAGTCTATTTAAATAAGTGGGATGAAGTATTTCATCTCACAAGTCTTCATCTGACTTAAAGAAACATGAAAAAGGATAGTTCACTTGACTTTAGTACGTCTAAAAGGCAGCATCACAGGACAGTCAGACACCATGGTCTGCATCATGAATGTGACAAATGTGTATGCATGCAAAAGTTTTGTGTAGTTAATATCCAGGATTAAATCTCTAGCAATGTATATTTACCTGTTGGTCAATTGCTGTTCAAGAAAACTTCCAAAGGCAGCAAAGGATTTAAAAGACAGTAACAATGAATTGCCAAAAGCTGTAGGCTATTGTGTTTTGAAAATATACTTTGAAATACTGTACCAAAATTTGTGGAAACTACAGATCAACAATTAAATTTAGAAGATCTATATCTAAATTAAGTATTCTTATTGATGAGAATAAGTAGGTATGCTTTCTTCCTATGGTATTGCCAAAAGACTGAATGAAATGATTTTAAGATTAAATTCTTCCCCAGTATAACCAAATCAGAATTCCAAATTTAAAACACCACATCTGACAATGACCAGAGTTGCCTAACTGCCTCTAAGTCCACATTCCCCTTCTAATGGGTACTGGCTGAACAGGTACCATGAAAGACACATCACATCCCTCTAGCATATTTTAGAGGCCTATGTATCCTTGATTCTATTATTTATTCTTACATGCTAAGAAGGAATATGAATATCTCAGGGAATGTTCCTCTACTTAAAAATATGCTCAAAGTCTATTTCTGCGCCTAGTGATATGAACTGTGATTGGCAATTCTGAAACTAAATGCCACAGGGAAATCTCTTACAATTTTTAAAAAACAGACTTAATTTTTAAAGCAATTTTAGGTTCACAGCAAAACTGTACGGAAAGTACACAGAGTTCCCATATACTCCCTGCACTCATACACACATGCTTCCCCACTTATCAACATCCTCCACCAGAGTGACACAATCCATGTGTTACAATCCATGAACCTACACTGACACATCATTATCACCTAACGTCCACAGTATATATTAGGGTTCACTCTTGGTGTTGTACGTTCTATGACAATGCATAATGCATAAATGACAAATGCATAATGACAGGTGGACAGGTATCCACCATTATAGTATCACACAGAATAGCTTCACTGCCCTAAAAATCCCCTGGACTTTGTCCATTTATCCCTCCTTAACCCCATAACTTCTGGCAATAGCAGGTCTTTTCACTGTCTCCATCATTTTGCCTTTTCCAGAATATCATATGATTGGAATCATACAATATGGAGCCTTTGCAGAGTGGCTTCTTTCACTAAATAACATGCATTTACATTTCCTCCATATCTTTTCGTGGCTTGATACCTCTTTCTTTTTAACAATGAATATAATTCCATTCCTGGATGTACCATAGTTTATCCGTTCACCCACTGGAGGACATCTACTGAAGGACTTGCTTCCAAGTTCTGGCAATTATGAATAAAGCTGCCATAAATACCTGTATTCAGGTTTTTGCAAAGATATAATTTTTTTTTTTTTGGCTGTGCCATGCAGCTTGTGGGATTTTAGTTCCCTGACCAGGGATTGAACCTGGCCCCATGGCAGTGAAAGCACAGAGTCCTAACCGTTGGACTGCCAGGGAATTCCCTGCATAGACATAATTTTTAACGTATTTGGATAAATACCAAGAAGCATAGTCGCTGGATCCTATGGTAAGAGTATGTTTAGTTTTGTATCTCTTACTATTTTTACCAGGGTTATATAGCTTAGTGATTAAAAACAGAGTCTGGAATCAGCTCCAGTACTTACTTACTAGCTATGTGTCATTGGACAAATTACTTAGTCATTCTAAGACTTATTTATAAAACACAAAAATGACAGTATCTATTTCACAGGGTTGTTCTGAGGGTCAGATGAAAACAGTGATAGTAAAATATTTAGGAACATAGTAAATGTTGAATAAGTATTAGTTGTTTACTATTGATATTATCCTTATTACTCTTCTTAACTCTCTGGGCATGAAGTTTCTTTCAGTCAGCCAATACTGTAAACTTAGGCTGTAGAGACAGAATAGTTTCTTCATAAATTTTCTGCCTATACAAAGCATGAATTTGTAACAGTGGCCTCCTGAGAGTCAGCTTTTATCAAAATACTGAGGTCTCCAACCACGCAGAAAATAAAAACACTCCTTAACATGGGAAACTTCACTATAGTAGGTTATAAAAAATGCAAATTAGCAACTTTTCTTTCCTAATATTGAGGGACAAGTTTCAAGCATAAAATATTTTACTGAATTTACGTTTTATGTATCTATTTTATGAGATAAATTTAGGCCTGAAAAGGTAGTTCAACTAGTCTGTTAATTTTATATTAGGGAAATGGGGTCGTTTTCTTTTATGTGGTAGTACATTCATGCATAGGGTAGTATATTCATGCTGTAATAAGGTATATAGAATAGTAAAATTATAAAATGAAGAAAAAAGGTTAAGAAATGGAATGACTATTAAATACAACTTGAAGGATTTCTGAAGAAAATTAACAATGCAATATTTTTCCTAAATATTTTTAAAGTACTTAAATATAAATTTAAATCCTCAGATTTACCGTATAGTCCCACATTGTTGCTCCTCCAAATGTAGACAACACAAAGACGATCACTAAAGCTACCTGAATTTCAGTGACATCCACTCTAAAGAGGAAAGATAAAGAACAGATGTTTGTAAATCAAAGTCCTAAATATGAAGCTTAATTAACCTTATATTAAAATCAAAAGATGTAAAAATCTCTGTAGGCTTAGTTTATTTTTACCTTTAGTTTCATCACTGAATTATCAATTAACTACACTGTTAAGTGAAAAAGCCTACAGAACAATGCACTTACATATAGGTAAAAAACTTGTATATCATATATAACATTGCTAATAACAGTTATCACTGAGATTACAAAAGGCTTTTATCTTCTACTTTACATACTTCTGCAAAGTTTGAATTTTTTAATAACAATCATGTATTACTCTTGTAATCAGGAAAAATTATGATAATATAAAAACAACCAGATGATTTAAGGCAAATTCTTAAACACTCTCAAGTCGATTTCATTGAAAAAGTAGGGAAAATTCCAACAGTTTTTCTCATTATGTTACTAATAGTCATTATAGTTTTTTGGTTTCCACAGACATTTTCCCCCTATGTATAAACAAACTTCTTTCAAAAACCCACTAAACCAACATCAGTCTCTAATCTGCATCCCCTGAAGCCATCAACTCCTCTCTCCTTTGCTCCAAAAACAGGCTGAGAAGTAGTCCACATTTGTAATTTCCTCCTCTCTTCATATTTGCTGCTTAATCCATTATAGTCCAGTTTTTGGCCCCGTTCTATTAAAACTGTTTAAGGTAAATAGTGACTTTCAATTTGTTGAATACAAGGGTTACATTTCAGTTACTATCTCGCATAACTCCTCTCAATATTTAAAATGCTGATCACTCCCTTTTTCTTGAAATGCTTTGCTATGTTTTTATTGCCATGTTCTCTCGTGATTCTCCTAGCTTGCTGGAAGCTCTTCCCAGGCTCCTTCCTCCACATCTTAAATGCTGTTTCCAGAATTCCTCTTTTCTCTTTTTAGATTCTCTGAGTATTACATGTATACCTAAGACTACCATCTATATGCTAATGACCTCTAAATCCGTTTCTCCTAATCCACATCTTTTTTTTCCAAGCTCCAAATTTTTATATCTGTCTACCTACTTTGCATCTCCATTCGGATGGCCTGGAGTTTTTAGATGCTAGAGGAATACTTATTGTTCTGCAAATATAAGAAATGTAGGGAACAGATCCAGATATAGAAGAAAAGACTTCTCAACTGAGTTATTTTGGGGGCATTTAGAAGGAGAAGGTGAATTGGAACATTAACGCACAAATAAAAGGAAAATAATAACATCCAGTATTTGTAAGATCAGTGATGGGCAAACCAGGGCCTCCAGGCTGCATGGAGAAATAGTCAAGTTAGTTGAAAAAGGTAAATGTAATAATATAATGTATGGTATTTTGTGGAGAAAAAGGAGGAAAAGTAATAACATTTACTAAGATCTGTTATGAGTCTTATGAACTATAAATTATGCCTGTTTTTTGGGAAGGGGAAATTGAAATGATTTTTTCATGCCTGTATTGAAACAGGGGATATTACTATAGGAAAAAGACTCCAGAGCCAACATTTTTGCTACTACACCTATGATTTATTATTAGAATTGTGCACTCTTTTTCCAGTAACAGTGGTAGAATTACATTAAGTTGATCCATAATTTTTCCAGGATATGATTAGTGACCAGAAGCAACTAGAAAAGCTGACAGAAATTATAGAACAAACTTTCTCTGAACTAAATGACACATACAGGGATTGAGCTAGGAACCTTGGTTTCACATATGCATCATTCACACCACAGATTTTATATTAAACTGAAAGCTTCATTCTTCCTCTCTGCCTTTTAAGGATAAATAAATGAGAATTTTTTTTTTTTGGAAATTTTTTATTGTTCATTTTTTCTCAGTAATTTTTTTCTTTACAGTGAAGAATGTTGGTGTTCATGCATGTATGTTAAATGACAATTCTTGAGTCTGGAAAAAAGAAAGCTGAAAGGATATGGTAAAAAGGGTGGGATCACTAACAAAATCCTTAAATATCTGAAATATGAAGAGCCAGTTTAAGCTTGAAAGATATATTAGACAAATAAAAGAATAATCTGTATAACAATTTACAAACTTAGAGAACTCATTAGGGGGTCCAAGATTTTAAAAAGTAAATCCAAAGACATAAAAAATCCAAGAAACATGGATACTGGGGATATGGTGCAGGTACATTCTCAAACTATTATAGAGAATAATCTACAACAGTGCTCTTTAAAGTGTGGTCTAGGGTTTGTTACAGTCCGCAATAAGTATAGAAAATTGAGAGTAAGCATTTAGAAACTTTCATCATAGTTTGATAGAGTAATTTTGTATCTCTTGAATTGAATGAAATACTGGGGACTGCATTTTGTAAGTTTGTTTTTTGTTTTTTATTTTTTTAATTGCATGTTATCTCTCCATGATGGATCTGGGGGGCGGGCGGGGTAGAAATTAGTTCTTTACCACAACTATGTGGAAAAATGGACATAATACCATATGGAAATTCTAAGGAATTTGAAAGAAGAGAAAATTAACACTGAGTCTAAATATTCACATGTAAATAACAAAATACCACATAATACAAGTCAACATTGGACTTGGTTTAGATTTTTTAATTAAACTTTAAGGATTGTTTGCTGTATTGAATTGCATGGAAGCAGACCCTTGATACATGGGAGCAAACATGCTATAAATAAGATATGCCTTATCTCACATGGCAAGCATTAATATAGGGACAGATTTTAACTGTTATCCTGTAAATTATTTCACTAACTATACTAAGGAAAATATACAAATATATCACTGATTAACTTTAAAAAATCCTTAATTAAAAGTTGAAAATTATAGTTTGAGATAGTTATTAATGTTTTGTCGTTTAAATTATCTTATTCAAGATAACAAATTCATATTTGTACTAAAATCTACATATTTTCAGGAGGTAAAACATATAACAAAATATCTACAAGTAAAATAGTATTTTTCTGTTCTATAAAACAGTATAAAACAGTATTTTTATGTTCATAAGAAAAACAGAATAGTATTTAGTAACTCTCTTCCTTCTCTGTTTAATTTTTTCTTCATACAATTAGGAGAGGCAATCTGCCATGGACCCTGAGCATCCCTGCACGTTCCTGTGGGGCGTGCAAGGAATCCAAGATCCTGAGCACCCTTTACCCGGGCCATTTCTCAGGGCTGTGTATGCAGTGAGCAACCTTGAAGGATGAGGTTACATCTCCCCGCAAAGAGCAGGCTTGCTTCCACTTACTATAAAAGCAACAGATCCCTCAGTGTTCCTCTCCCATAATGCCACCCACCACATGTGCAGGCATTCATCCAGTCCCACTGCATGACCCCATAAGGCTTGGGAGTGGAGCAAGGGAACCCGGCATGAACCTGAACCTGAGGCTGCTGCTTTTGCCCTGAGTTATAAAGTTGTCCTCTGCCTCTGACCCAGGAGTTTTGTGTCTTCTCTCAGCATTCATGAAACATTAACCGGCTCACTCGGTAGCTTGTAAGGGTAAAATCCCAGACTCTTTTACAGTTCATGACACAGAGCACTTACCACTCACTAGCTAATGTGTTATGTGCAGTATTTACTTGTTTAGCTTGCATTATTGTCTGTCTCCCATATTAGAACATAAACTCCAAGGGGGGCAGGGATTTTTGTCTGTTTTGTTTACTCATATTTTGTTTACTCATGTTACCCTAGAACCTAGAACAAGGCCTGGCATATACCAGATGCTTAATAAATATTTGTATGAATACTGCAAACATATTTATTAAAATTCATTGTAAAAATATTACATCAGTATTCAATAAAATCACTCAAATTATATTGACCTTCCATCCTCAAATTTATTTTAACTCAGTTTCTTCTGTATGCTTATTTCCTTATGAAATTAGTTCCTTATCAGTAACTTACTGATTAATACATGACATCTGATTTTCTTTTAGTAAGAGTTACTTTTTAATGTCACTCAAAGTAAACATACAAAAGAAATTGAATTAAATTAAAGGATATGTCATGATAATGCTAACCTTATTACTGAGTACTTCTGTCCTCCAGACTCTGTACTAAGTTCTTTATATACATTATTATTTAATGTTTACAATAACCTTTTAACACAATTATGATTATTCTCATTTTACAGATGAAGAAACTGAAGAAAATGAGGTTAAATAATTTATTTGTGGTCAAACAACTGGTATCTTGGAGACAGAATTTGATTCTACCCAATCTGATTCTAGAGCCTATGTTTTTCACTAGTAAACTTAAAACAGGAGCAATAGTAATAAATAACTTAAAGGTCTTTGAAAATTGGAAAAAAATTAAACAGCAAAATGTAGTAAGTTTTTTAGTCCAATTAAGCTCTCATTTGGCATATTTTTCTTCAGTCTTTCAGAACAAGGGAAACCACGTTAAGTAGGCTTAAACCAAGAATACATTCACAAAACAAATTTCCACAGTAGATTCTGAGATTGTTTAGCCTGTTTTCATATATCTGTATCATTTATCTGTATTCTAATAACATAAACACCATAAAAATTAAACCTCTCAAAAATTGACAGATTTTCAGGAAATCCGTCCTAGTCAACAATTGATACTGACTGAGTTTGTAAGCATTTCCAGAGGCTTGGTTGATGTCCTACATACAGATCCTTCTTATAGTGTTAAGCTGGAACCAATGTATCCTACTCAATGCTCAATGGTATCTTTACTTTGGTAAAGTGAAAAAATACACAGATTAGGATCTGTGCCATACAAAGTAAGTATTTTACATGGTTGACCCCTGGGCACTGCAGGATCTCCTCCAGTCCCTGACGTGCATGGTGCTCAACCATAACAGCCATTTCCGGAATGTTCTGAGTACTTCCTTTCCTCGTGCTCCTGCCTAGAATGCTTTTACCCCAATCTGGCATATTCCATCGGCAAGTGACTCATCTTTGTATGTGCAGTTCTAGGCACACATTAGGCTCTCAGTCAATAGCAAATGAGTATAAAATAGACAACTGGGCCAGGAATGTGAACTAATTCATTTCAGAAAGATTTTTAATGAAGTTATAAGCCAGAAAGGTAAAGTCTAAGTCATTAAATAACAACAATTAACCAGGACATTGCACTTGTCATTAAATAACAATTAACCAGAACACTGCATTGTTACATGACTCCAGTTTACCATAGCAAGTTCACCATATTAACTAAAATGCATTAGACTTTGCAAAGCTATGTTTCTGTTTTAGCCTATTTTAATCTATACATAGGTACAGATTCTTAATTTTACATTCTTGCCTTGAATTTTTAGCCTGGCTTTTTTGTTTCTTGGCTGCTCGGCTTGCAGGATCTCAGGTCCCTGACCAGGGATTGAACACAGGCCCCAGTAGTGAAAGTGCCAAGTCCTAACCACTGGACCACCAGGGAATTCCCTAGCCTGGGAATTTGATCCTTGGGTTCTTGGCCAGTAGGTAAAGAATCAGCTGAAGACTCACATTTTCCATAAAAGCTTTTCCTAAACGAATTCAGCCTACAGCCAGCTTCTCCTTACTTAGGATTTCTTCAGTGCTATGGAAACCTAAAGCAGGTCACTTTTCACATGGTTATGGACTGTATTAGCAGTGTCACAGAAGTATTATCCTATCCCTTTAATACAGTATACTATATAGTTCCTAAAATGGATTTTTTAAAAATGCATTTTGTATCCTTCCACAGTACCTAATACAGTGATAATCCCACAGTACTGAGCAGCAGTCATTAAGAGTGTGGGGTTTGGAGACTTGAGTTTTAACCCTGGCTCTACACTTTTTAGCAGTATAAGGAAGTTACAGAACCTCTCTGCCTCACTGGTACAGTGGCGGTAATACCCTGACAGGATTAATGTGAGGAATAAATGAGATAAGGCATGTAAAGCGCTGAGTACAATGCCAGAACCATGCAAGTGCTCAAGAGGTGATAGCAGTGACTAGTCCCTAATTTAGAGTCAATGTGGAAAATTGCCAAAGGCCTTCACTCTGCTAAACGATCCGTAGTTTTGAGCTTCTTTCATTTATCATTATCAGAGATTTTATTTCAGAGCTACTGTTGTTCCCGTGCAGCAATAAAGTGTGGCTAAAAAGAATCAGTAGACGGGGAAGCCAAAGCAGAGAATGAGCCAATGGCAGACAGCTATTAAAGGACCAGGCAGAAAGGGAGCTGATGGAAAAAGGGCTAGAGAACAGAGTTCCTGCCTTGTGCACTATTTCCTGGTGTCTAAGAATGAGGCAGCGGGGCAAATATTACAATGTTACTACATCATCTCATCAACTGTCTACCACAGCTGAGAGTCCCATGATCACGGTTGTTGGTGACTGCTGTAAAGGGGTTACCCTTTTTGGACACACAAAAATTTGACCAAAAAGGACCTTTAGATTCCATATCTCATTATTTTATCACATAAGCCAAATGCTTTTTTTTTCTTTTTAACATCTTTATTGGAGTATAATTGCTTTACAATGTTGTGTTAGTTTTTGCTGTATAACAAAGTGAATCAGCTGTACGTATACTTATGTCCCCATATCCCCTCCCTCTTGTGTCTCCTTCCCACCCTCCCTATCCCACCCCTCTAGGTGGTCACAGAGCACCGAGCTGATCTCCCTGTGCTATGCGGCTGCTTCCCACTAGCTATCTATTTTACGTTTGGTAGTGTATATATGTCAATGCCGCTCTCTCACTTCGTCCCAGCTTAGCCTTCCCCCTCCCCGTGTCCTTAAGTCCATTCCCTACATCTGTGTCTTTATTCTTGTCCTGCCCCTAGGTTCGCCAGTACCATTTTTTCTTTTTTCAGATTCCCTATATATGGGTTAGCATACGGTATTTGTTTTTCTCTTTCTGACTTACTTCACTCTGTACAGCAGATTCTAGGTCCATCCACCTCACTACAAATAACTCAATTTTGTTTCTTTTTATGGCTGAATAATATTTCATTGTATATATGTGCCACATCTTCTTTATCCATTCATCTGTCAATGGACACTTAGGTTGCTTCCATGTCCTGGCTATTGTAAGTAGTGCTGCAATGAACACTGTGGTACATGACACTTTTTGAATTATGGTTTTCTCAGGGTATATGCTCAGCAGTGGGATTGCTGAGTCATATGGTAGTTCTATTTTTAGTTTTTTAAGGAACCTCCATACTGGCTGCATCAATTTACATTCCCACCAACAGTGCAAGAGGGTTCGCTTTTCTCCACACCTTCTCCAGCATTTACTGTTTGTAGATTTTTTGATGATGGCCATTCTGACAGGTGTGAGGTGATACCTCATTGTAGTTTTGATTTGCATTTCTCTAATGATTAGTGATGTTGAGCATCCTTTCATGTGTTGGTTGGCCATCTGTATATCTTCTTTGGAGAAATGTCTATTTAGGTCTTCTGCCCGTTTTTGGATTGGGTTGTTTGTTTTTTTGATATTGAGCTGCATGAGCTGCTTGTATATTTTGGAGATTAATCCTTTGTCAGCTGCTTCATTCGCAAATATTTTCTTCCATTCTGAGGGTTGTCTTTTCGTCTTGTTTATGCTTTCCTTTGCTGTAAATGCTACGTTTTTAAGTCCTGCATATCCTTTTTCTATATTATTCAGGTCCCTTATTTTTCTCTTTCTCTTGTCTAATGTAAACTTGGGTTAGTAAGTTGGAGAAGAGGGGAAAAAAAACAATTATCATCAAATATGTAACTGTAACATGAAGAATACCTGAAAGATTAAACTTAAGGTGCAGCATTTATGGACGCTTCAGTAAGGTAAAAGGTAACTTGAATTCCTGATTGACACTTTGTCCCCCTTACTATGGATAAATGAAGTGTGACAGATAGTGAAAATGAGTTTGATTATATTTTTAAATGTACAACTTAAAATACATACTTACTTTCCAAACCTCAACACGCCTGAAACATAAGTCTGCCAGTGAGCACAATAAAACATGAACATCCCGATAAAAGAGCAGAAAAACAACCAGTCAGGATAAGTTCCTAAGCGAACAGCAATTGAAGCTCCAACTGCCATAAAAACTGAAAGAAACAAGAACCATTAAGAATTTAAAATAATTAATTAAATAATCGCCATTGGCTGTTTAGAAATACAGAATTTTAAGGTGCATAATCTTGGCATGAAAATAAGGCCCACTAAACAAAATAAATTCCTGAACATACTTTTAAAATACACTGTGCAAAACTGCTTCCAACTGTAAACCAAAACAAACCAAACAGCTCAGTTTTTAAGCCATCATTAAAAGACAAACCAACAAACAAAAACAACTATAGGAAAAAAACCTCCACTAAAAACTCACCTGTGGAAAGAGAGTCACAACCATGGTCAAAAAGTTCCCCTAAAGGAGAACAAGAATTTGTTCTTCTGGCTTGTTTCCCATCAATAGCATCCAGTGACTGGTAGATAAAGAGTCCTAATGCACATAAAAGGTATGTCCAGTACGGTGCCTAAAAAGAAATGTAAACAATGAAGACTGGTGAGTGACAATAAGCTAGCTTCTGTTTGAAAATAGCTCAACCCAAGCCAGGTGACACATTTTCTTATGTTCGCACTTTATATCACCTCAGTGTGTTACAAGGAACATTTATAACCTTCCTTCTACAGATGAGAATTAAATTGAGAAGTGAATTGCTCTAGGTCATCTGCGTAGAGTGTCACAAAAGTCCGTACTGTGAGAAGCCAAAAGTTAAATGACCAAGCAAGGATTAGGACCCTGATTTTGATTCTTAGTCCACAGCTCTTTTAATATAATACTATTCATATATGGCACGGATTTGAAATTATTCAGTAAGTCTCTGCTATGAAAGAAGATCTTAAAGACAAACCACAGACCTCAGCTTCCTTTCATGATGGAGTATCAGGGGCTGGATTTACTCTCCCATCTTGTATAACTAGAAAAGCAATAAAATAAATAAAACAACCATTTTCAGACACTGCAGGCAGTGCAGCACTGTGATCCCTGACAGAAGGGAAACAAATGACCTGAGCCCTGTGACTGCTCCAGCTTAGTGCCTATAGGCAGTCTCCAGGCCACAGTACAGGAGTGAGGAACTGGAAGAGAGGCCAGCAATCCTGCCGTGCTGAGAAGAAACGCAGCAGAGGTCAGGAAGGTCAAGGCAGCTAGAATCTGTGTGGCAGAGCACTGGAGAGGAGAGAGGCACAAACTGTGGAGATCTAGAGTCTTTGGCTGAGAAGTGACCTGTGCCTAATGAGACAAAACTACTAACCAAGGCCAGGGAAAGAACCACTGGACAGCGCAAGGCCACACAATTCTTGAAGCCCACACAAAGCTGGGAATGGTTTATGTTCCCACCAGGCACAGCATGTAAGACCATGTAATACTCAGGGCACTGGGGAGAGTTCTCAGAAGTGTATTGCCTTAGCAGTGGGCATTAATTAGCCCTAGACCAAAGGCCCTAACAGATATAAAACCTAGCCTCAAAAGGATCTGACTGATTCCAGGTAACTTAACTAAAGCCAACACAAAGTACAACATCGTAAAGGAATACCCCACCAAACCTAGTACCCCAAAATGTAAAATTCACAATGTTTGGCATCCAATAAAAATTACTAGTCATTCAAAGAAGCGGGAAAACATGCTCTACAACTAGGAGTAAAATCAATCAATAGAACCAGACCCAGGAATGACAGAGATAATGAAATCTGCAGATGAGGACATTAAAAGTTCTTATAAATATGCCTCATATGTTCAAGAAGGTGGAGGAAAACATGAAAGACTACAGTGTAACCTCTAGAAACGGAGAATACAATATTTCAATGTAAAATATACTAGATGAGATTAACAGCGTATTAGGGCAGAAGAAAAGATCAGTGAACTTGCAAAGTACTGATAGAAACTACCCAAAATCATGCACAGAAATAAAAAGACTAAAAATAATTGAACTGGGCATCAGTGACCTGTGAGACAACAGTAGTCTAACATATATGTAATTGAAATCTCAGAAGGAGAGAAGAAAGAGGGTTGGACATGAAACATATAAGAAAAAATGATGGCTGGAAATTTCCAAATTTGATAAAAATCTGTAAACTTACATATCCAAGAAGCTCAACAAACCCCAAGCAGAATAAGGTTTTTTTTTTTTTTTAAACCCACCAAGGCACATCATAATCAAATCACTGAAGACCAGTGATAAAATCATTAAAGAAGCCAGAGGAAAAAGACACATTACATACAGAAGCATAGATAATAGTGGCAGAGGAAAGAGTAAACTTGAAGGTAGATCAATAGAAATGATGCAATTTAAACAAGAGAGAGAAAAAAGATTTTAAAATGACCATTCTTTTCTTTCAGCACTTTAGAAATGTACTCTACTTCCTCAGGGACCTGTGTGATGATAGCAATGGTCAACCCAGAATTCTATGTTTCAGAAAGCAAGTACAGCAAAATTGATGACTAGGGTTTTAAAGTTAGATCTGTGTTTGAGTTCTTGGCTCTGTTATTTAATAGCCAAGTGACCCTGGGAAAGTCATTTAAACTCTCTAAACTTTGGTTACCTCATTTGTAAGATGTGAATAATACTTGCAGTTGTATCTGATGAAAAAAATTCTTAGATGGCTCTTTACGCAGAGCCTGGCACATAGTAAGTGCTCAATAAGGTTAGCTATTGTAGGGAGTTCCCTGGTGGCCTAGTAGTTAGGATTTTGGGCTTTCACTGACGTGGCCCAGGTTCAATCCCTAGTTGGGGAACTGAGATCCTGTAAGCTGCACACAGTGGCCAAAAAAGAAAAAAAGGTTAGCTATTGTCATTAAATTGTGTTTTGCATATTTTTAGTGGCAAATAGAGTTTTTAAAATATCAATGTATATATGGTCTATGTGGTAATTCTGCAAATACCAATCAACCTGCTACCTCATTCTTCAATCTAAGTAAGTAGAAGTTTACTTTGAACTTCAATAAACATTTTATCATTTGTTAATATTACATGCCCAGTATTAATGACTACACTATTAATTGCTTTAAAAGACTTATGAAAGGCTTCCCTGGTGGCACAGTAGTTAAGCATCCGCCCGCCAATGCAGGGGATACGGGTTCGAGCCCTGGTCCGGGAAGATCCCACATGCTGCAGAGCCACTAAGCCCGTGTGCCACAGCTACTGAGCTTGCGCTCTAGAGCCCACGAACCACAACTACTGAGCCTATGCACCACAACTACTGAAGCCCGTGTGCCTAGAGCCCGTGCTCCGCAACAAGAGAAGCCACCGCAATGAGAGGCCCGCGCACCGCAACGACGCCCGCCGCAACTAGAGAAAGCCTGCGCACAGCAACGAAGACCCAACGCAGCCAAAAATAAATAATATATTTTAAAAATGCATTATTGTATTTGATACAGCAATCCACAGAGACAAGGCGGACAAGGCATTATCATGTTCTTTGCACTACAGATAAAAGAGAAACTTAGGGAGGGGTGATAAAGTTCCATTGAGAAGAGCAGCTAGACTGGGTCTAGGAATCAAACCCAGGTTTTCTGGCCTGCCCTATGGTAGATCTATCAGATCGGTCGTGCTGCAGGCTACACAGACTGGATGCAGCTTCCCACCTGGATTCTTACCTATTCTTTCAAACCTGCTGAGAAGCACTTTCCTGCCCCCACAATACAATTCCAGGTGCAGTGAACCAGATGGGTGGGAAAGCGCTGCAGCGGAGAGAGACTTCTTTCCTCTTAAGCCCAGAAAGGCATACCAGTCCTCCAGCTGCTTGTTCGCTACCTTTCCAGTCTTCCCAAGGCCACAGGAGCTGGACCTATCTTCTCTTTACTCTGTTGTCATCACCTCCATTCCCACCTGGGAGCTATGAAACAGTCTGCAAATTTTCAACTTCTTTTCTCACCTGTTATCTCTGCAAAACAGGCCCCAGCCAGGAGATCCACTTGCCAGGAGCAGCATGCCCCTTCCTTCCAGGAGCCTGCTTAACGTGGGTGTCACTACAGAAGACACTCTGGGTGGAAGCAGGATCTACAGGGCCACCCCAACTCAATTCTAGTTTTCATGTTAACTTATTTTAAAAATTTTTAAATGTAAGCGTGGGAAAATCAGTTGTGGATTACAAAGTCTTAAGCAATATATCAGAATACTTCTGCAGAAGGAGACTATATAAAAAGTGGAACTTCTCCAGATCATATTAGATTCTTAATATTTAAAGTTCTTAATTATATAATTTTTATAATATCTACTGTATCCTTTAAGATCAGAATTTTATACTACATCATAGAAACCTTTCCAGGTCAAGCATAAAGATCTACATCATTCTTTTACATGACTGCATGGTATTCAGTTATGTGGCTATATCACAATTTAAGTAATAAGTCACCAGTGATGAATCTTACATGACTGTGTGAAAGATTATTATATAAGTTTATTCTAGAAAACAAAATAATTACTAAGAATCAATCATAAGCCCTAGTCATTAAAAAAAAACACTAATACATTTAAATTGCTTTTCAGTTACATCACTGAAAAAGCACTGTATACAACTAAGTACTTGGGATATTTTACTTTTTCCAGTTACTTGAAATAAAGGATTAGAGAAACCAGAGATTTGAACCAGACTGTATGGCAATTGTTCTTGTTCAAAATAACTCTGGATCAGAGAGAACACTCATATATAGATCGATTATTTATCCTGGGTATTATACCCCTTTTTATAAGTGTTTGAATGAGCACACACATCAGGAAAAGGACGAAAAGATTTAGAAAGTGATCAATGAACACATTTCTTTTTTTTTATTATTATTAATGAATTTATCTATATTCTTTCGGCTGTGTCGGGTCTTCGTTGCCGTGCGCGGGCTTTCTCTAGTCGAGGCGAGCGGGGCTACTCTGTTGCGGTGCGCGGGCTTCTCATTGCGGTGGCTTCTCGTTGCGGAGCACGGGCTCTAAGCAACCAGGCTTCAGTAGTTGTGGCTTGCGGGCTCTAGAGCGCAGCCTCAGTAGTTGTGGCGCACGGGCTTAGCTGCTCCATGGCATGTAGGATCTTCCTGGACCAGGGCTCAAACCTGTGTCCCCTGCATTGGCAGGTGGGTACTTAACAACTGTGCCACCCGGGAAGTCCCAGTGAACACATTTCTGCTCACTGGACAAATTTTACTTACAGCTCAGAACTTAGAATACTGGATTTTGGGGAATACATTCTTAGGTTTTCTGTAAATGAAGATGCTAGACTAAGTAGTCTCTAAGGCCCCATCTTTAATATGGAACTAGAATCCTCTCAAGAGTAGGAGGTATGTTCTCTGTTTTTAAAATCTGCTGTGTTTATACCATGAGAGCTAAATAACTAGATGATTAAAATCAGCTGATCAGGTTAACAGGTTACCTGGTAACCTATCAGGTAAAATGGTTTCCAAAAGGAATAATACATGTCCTGGGTTTTTCTTGCAGAGTGGTTAGGAGTATAGATTCTGCATTCCACCTGCACCTGATCCTTGAGTGAG